AATACCGATGAAATAGTAAAACAAACCATATTGTTTGGTTTTGTTTTTTTTAAAAACAACCATCAACCACATAAGAAATGTCACGTTATAACGAAGTGTTGATCTAGAGCCGATCGACCAAAAACATATTTCATAGTTATATTAAAATAATCGAGACTTAAATTTCACATTTTAGGAAAATATACACTCAGATAATTTGCATCTAAAGCAACACTCAATTTTAATGCAGGAAACGATCAATCTCTGCCGGACGGACCGAACATCTCACTACCAAGATGTTTTGCAACCACAGCAGTTGTTTCCCCTTTCAACAGGTGGAGTTTATCCAAATCAATATAATTAATGTATTTTGGCCTATAATTATTTGGTATTTTTAAACATGAAGACTTCAATTATTTAAACATACTATCTCAGGACAATTAAGAAACTCATTATGAAAATACAACATTACCCCGTTTAAACACGAATGTATTAAGTCATACCTAAATCTAAAGAAACTCCAGAAAGTAATATATGTATTTATATTTTTTCTTAACTATTTTGATTTATAATAGGGAGCAGACAAAATGAGGAAGATTAAGATGGTGGGCACAAATCAACCTTATTAGGTATTTTTTTCTAAAACAACATTATTTTTTTCAACAATGATGTACATTTATGCATCTTAAAATATATTTTGTATTTTAGATAGGTTGAAATAATCTCAAAATTAATTTCATATTAATAGTTTTAGATAGAAACTCAATATCACATTTAATTATTTTCAGAATTAACAGACAATACAGAGCATTAAGGCATGTAGAATTAGGTTTGTCTCAAGTATATTCTTTAAACCAAAGATTTATTATGACATGCATCCCAAGTCAGCATACCTGACCACCCGATCCCGGTAGTCGCCTCTTATGACAAGCATAGTCGCCTTTTACAGCATTTAATAGAAGTAAGATATTTGATAATGTTGGTTGGTTGTTTAACGCCGCACTCAGCAATATTCCAGCTATATGACGGCGGTCTGTAAATAATCGAGTCTAGACCAGAAAATCCAGTGATTAATATCATGAGCATCGATCCACGCAATTGGGATCGATGACATGCATCAACCAGGTCAGCGAGCCTGACCACCCGATCCCGTTAGTCGCCTTTTACGACAAGTATAGTCGCCTTTTCCGGCAAGCATGGGTTGCTGAAGACCTATTCTACCCCGGATCTTCACGGGTCTATAGATAGGTCTGCTCGTGGACTGGTGCTTTTCTTAGTTTGGGATTTAAAAAAAATATTTTTTGAGTTTCCAAAGGAACGACTTTGATTTAGTCTGAAAATGGCGGTAGTCCTCGTTTCCGGAGCAGATCTTGAAAACTGTACCATATTTCTTCACCAGACCTGGCACATAGATAGGTCTAGTGGTGAACTGGTGCCTATTGATAATTTGGTTTTCTTAAAGAAATTTTCATTTGAATTTCCATAGCAACGACCTTGACTTAGACTAAAAATGGCGGTAGTCCTCGTTTCCGGAGCAGATCTTAAAAATCCCTATCCATATTTCTTCACCAAACTTGGCACATAATGTCATTTCTCGGTATTGAATACATTTCCATTCTTGTTGGTAAGTTCTGCATTGCTTGTGTGTATGTTCCTCCAAAGGTGTCATGGACACGGTTGTTGCATTCATTGGCTAACTTCATGCAGAAACACAACTCATTACAAATACAACAGTGTAACTGATCTTGAACCTACTCAACTGTATTAACACTGCCTCCTATCCTGTATATATTCTTGTCAACCATACTCTGTACTTCACTTGCTTGATAACATTTAGAAACTACACCGAAATCATCGATCCTGATTGTAATAAAGAAGTTGTTTGTCCATTTGTCTCATCCTTACTCATTCCAAATACAGTTACATATTATATCATAAACTGCAGATGGGACACGACACCATTTAAAACTGTTTTTAGTGCTGCAAATTAGGCCATTTACAAAAAGGCCCAGTGAACATAGTTCACAGGAGCTAATGCATTGCACACAACCGGACATGTCATATTGACGGGGGATGTGAGTATTTCATGCTTGTTAAGCGCTGATACAACAGCTGATAATCGTGTCACCCATTCCGTTGATCTTAATCCAAACAAACGTTTTGCTAATGTCCGGTTAAATCTTTCAACGATAGCTTGGCCAAGATGGGCCTCTTTTTCAACATGCGTCGCTATTTGGCTGAAATAATGCCGATGTGACGTTAAATTTTCACTCACTCACTTTTCACCATGCCTGATTGCAACATCGTGCTTAGTTAATAGTTTAGTTACTGATCCCATAAACTCGTAACCAGGATCTACTTGAAATAACCTAGGCCACAAATGATCCGCGTTTATATATGTTAGCCAGCTACATCAACTGCGGTTAAAGCGTATTAATATGTTTTGCGTCTTACCTCATCATGAGGAAGAAACAAGAGGTCAGACTGAGGAACTTCTTTTGTTGTAAAAATATCAAACCTTTTCCTGGTATATAACGCGGGGATGGTAAGTTTATTTGCCATATCGTTTGTTTCTTTAACCAATCCTTGGCAACATCTTTAAATACCTAAGCCGCTGCAGCTAGTTTTTGTATTGCCCCTATACCTTGCCAATATCCTCGCGGGCTATTGTAAATTTTATCCATTATCAATTAATATTTATTTTTCTTTAATACAACCATTTAGACAAATGTTCACATAAATATACAACAATGGACGATTACAAGCCAACAAAAGTAGAACTTGAAAAAGCTATCAAATCATTTATGCTCCGGTACAAAATTATCAAATGGCAAGAATTACCACAAGGTGTATATCTTATCAGGGATGTCAAGCTGCCCAAATCCCGTTATCAATCGTTTCAGTCCAATTGTGAAAAAGAGTATACAGTCTGGTCGCCAAGTAAAATGAACGAAGAACTTAGTAAAAATGTTGAATATCATTTTGTCCGTAATAATGGTGTGTGTATCACTCAAAATAACAGAGAATATCGACATTACAATTTAGCTCAAAAACCATGACGATCCATGGGTAATCATATAATTCGCATTAGCATAAGACCCCCAAAGAAGCATTCATAGGGTCCGGGGATGGTTCAGGTGGTGGTGAGTCTGGATCCTCATCATCTATACCACTGCACCGTTAACTCATACTCTCATTCACCATTATGGTAATAGTTATTTTGTTTTCAGCTATCCTCCAGGATGCATATTCATTTATATCTTTTTTTACGATACTTAAGTCTCCAAAATGAATAATTAAATAGTTGAAGATTGAACATCCAAATCTAAAGACTTAGATTAAAACTGCCGAAATTAAGAATGCAAAATTCCAAATGTGACAAGGGCTTCAGATTCACCTTGAATGACCCCCTTGTTTGACGAACCATGCCATGTTCGGGGGACTCACAAAGACGGCAACCGTCCAAGGCTTACACACACAAGTGATCACGGTTCCTTTGTCAGTAAAAGCTGACTCAGGCATACTGATCAGGTGTCGACACTACTTTTGAGAGTAACTGAGACAGAACATTTTAGTTAGGACATGATTGCATTTCTTGTTCCACAAGTGACTGCAATGCTTCATTAGGCGTCAATTCTTTGTCAATACAGTGCACCCGAACAAGCTTCACACTTTATGCTTCCTTGGGTATTACAATGCGTGAAATTAATAGTTTGCTCCGCAATTGCCACAGTGAGCCAAGATTAATTAGGAACCAGAACACATTAATCCTTAGCCATGATAAAGTGGGTGAGCAGGGCTATACATAAGTGTTTAGCAATATTCCATCAATATCACGCACAGGAACACCAGAAATTGGCATCTGCCCTATATATTGGGGCATTTCAGGCACCATACATATTTGTGAAAAACACTTTTCTTTGTTTGTTGTTTTACTCAACATTTAGCAATATTCCATCTGTACAAGGGCGATCTGTAAATAATCGAGTCAAGCAGACAATCCAGTCATTGACATCATGAGCATTGATCCACGCAGTTGGGATCGTTTACACGCATCAACCAAGTCAGCGAGCCTGACCACCCGGTCCCGTTAGACGACAAACATAGTCGCCTTTTCACCTATTCTATTACTTTACGTTCCGATGTTCAGCCTCGCTAGTCTGGCAGTTTTGTTCACACAGCCAAAAATGCATTATGAGAGATTTAAGGATCATTGTCAAAACAAGGTTCAAAAATAGATAATGAATTAGAAAAACGTGTTACGCTCAACTACTAATTGAACCCATACCAACTTTCATTTGCTCAGTGGTTTGTGAGGGGATGATGTCTTCAGTGCAAAAAAATGCATTTTGAGAGAATGTTAGAGCATGGTCAGACATGTTTGATTTACGATAAAGATGCTTTGGAACTGGCCCTGTAAAAAAAAAAAGGTGCCTTGAATAAATCTGAATCCGAGTATACTAAGAAAATATCCACAAAAAACCTCAGCTGCATCCATCAAGCTATTTCGGAGATGAAGTCGAAAATGTGAAACATTTCACGAAGACGGACGACTTAAATGTGCGTCCCTTAGGCCACCCAGAAACCTATTATCGTGGGTTCTTATCCCAGAATCGCCCTTACAGTGGTATTATTGTTGAGTGCGGCGATAAACAACAAACAAACACAATTAGTCTGTTTCTAGGTTTGTCAGTACCATACCCATGCTCATAGGTTTCATCAAAATGGTAAATATCTGAAACCTGCTTCACTTTGGGCTTTCCTCCCTCGTTTAAGTGTAACAGGAATAACGTTAAAACAGCGATCATCCCCGCTTCCTCCCTCACGAACTCACCATTACGAATGCGAATTACGCGGCAGAACAAGTCTTGAGTATCTTATACTCACCTGGAGCATCTTAAATCCAAATAAATTATCCCAGTGTGTGGCTTTACTGATCATGTGGGTGATCGTATTGTTGCTTATTGTCTTAATGTCTAGATGCAAATCCTACAAGATAATTATGACAGTTTTTTACTGACTTGGACATTCGGGCAGACCACAGCTGACGTCGCCAGTTTCCGAGAGACTCTCTGTGCAGTTAGCTCCTCCTTTATCCGGAACCGGGTTTGTGCAGGTTCGTATCCGGGTTTTCATGATGGTGTGTGAGGGCCCACAGGTCTGAGGGCAAGCTGGTCCAGTCCACTGGGCCCAGGCGCTGACACCGCCGTCAACTGAAGACAATTTTAGAATGAACTGCATTATGTTAATGCTGTCATGGAAGAAATGCGCGTTACATTACATCGTTTAAATAATATTGTATTGAGGCCAGTACTTAAGTTATCATAGATAAGTAAAAGGTAATGGACACTGGGCAAACGGGAGGCCGGGGTTATTATCACAGATAGGTGAAAGAATGGACATAGCAAAGGGTAAATAGAAGCCAGCTAGGTAATTAGCCCCGACAAAGATCAAAGCAATAAGTCCCAAGTACTAAGCAGATAGGTTCCCTGGTCATGATTCATGGCTGGCTGGTGTCTCCTGATGTCAATGGCTTCTTGTAGTTTCCTTTTTGTCGCTAGTTGTTGTTGTTGGTAGACAGGACTTTGGTGGCTTCCAACATGATGTTATGGTTTTGGTTCTTCAGGATGTGTTCGGAAATAGCGGATTTCAGGTCAAGTTTCTTAACAGTCCAATTTTCTTTGAGTCTGGTGTTGCGGGGTCTAAGGGTTTCAACAATCTACTGGTGGCCACAGTTGCAGGGTATCTGGTATATACATCCTCGGGGGTTGGGACTTGCGCTGCTTGTACCTCTGCCATTGGCTTTGTGGATGGGTGTTGATGGACTTGCCGCTAGAGAAGGTGACATCTATGTTGGCTTTGTTCTTGATGAGGCGGGAAACCTGATGAGTGACAGGGCCTTGGTAGGGTATGGTGATTCTGATGGGCGATGGAGCTGGTTTGGGCCTGGGGTCGGAGTTCTTGAGAGTCTTAAGTACTGGCTTCCATACCTTCAGCGCTAATTACTGTAAAGTGTTTGCTTTCATTGTCTATTGCTAATATACTATCAGCGCCAATCATCTGTTAGCTTCCCTTGTTAGTTTCTACCTTTTTTTATTTTCCACCTTTTGTTTTCTTATTAATTTTGTTGTCCTTACATGTACATATACATATTAATGCTCTCTGCCTCATGGCATTCAATCACCTGATGAAAGAGCAAGCATATATTCCGAAATATGTATTCCTCATAATTACCACAAAGTTGCCATCAATATATTCTCTTCCTTATGTGTATCATTTCTGAATGCCTTTCAAAAACCTCATATGTTTATTGTCAACCAAATTTTAGGGTAAAGGTGTCCCAGTCGTCTGAGGCGCCACAATTTACTGTGCAGAGTTGCGCCCCTTGGGCGCGCCAGAAACCTATGATCGTGGGTTTGAATCACGGTTCTCCCCGATTATCATTTTTGATTTGTTTAAGACCGTACAGATCTCTTGTGATTCACCAAAGTGGTAAACGTCTGAGACCTGCATCACTTCGGGCTTTCCTCCCACATATGCTGAATCGCCTTGATATTTAACTGTAATACTGTTCAAAGCGGCGATAAACTTAATTCACACACTCAGCACTCATTAGGGTTTCCTTACTATTAAAACAGTAAATATTACGGTTGATATTTTAATTATTATTTCTAAATGAATTGTTATCAGGCTAGCCGTAGTGTCCATATTTCGTCAAGTTTCATTCAGGAAATATACCGTTACCTGGTGCACAAGTTGAATACATGTTGAATCCTGATTCACTGGCATATGTCATTGCTGCTGGTGTTGTGAGAGGCACAGTATGTGCCACACATTCTTCACTGGCCTCCTTGTATCCAAAGGACTTTATCACTCTGAAGAGGGAGCACCGCGCTGCACATTCGGCACGACTAGTCATATCAGTCTTTGTCCACAGAACACCCTCACTAACTCTCTTGTTCTGGAAATCTGGCAATGGCTTTACCTCACATACGCTACAAAAAATGGCAGAACTTTTCACTGGACCAAAATCAGAACAAGTTATCATCAAAATCAGTAGCATTTCACTTATGGTCATGATTGAAAACAGACTGCTTTCTTCCCCATACACTTTTTGTAATGACCACTTGTGCGGGATTATAGAGAAACTATCAGATCAGCTCATCGATTTGTATGTTATTTCCCCAGATATAATCAGTCGAATCGTTCTCCCCTGGCGAATGTCCATAAATGAATGCCCAGAAAGGCGGAATCCCACAGAGATAACCTTTCAGCTTCAGACAGCGGAACACGGGTCGAGCACATACAGCTGTCGATACGTACACGAGGCAAAGCGATGAAATACAAAGAAGTACATTCAGACGGGACGTTAGATTCTATGGCAACATGTCTGATTGACAGTGGTAAGGAATTAACCATTCGATGTTCTCATAGGGGAGGGTGGCTGAACATGAATTGTTAGCATACATATGGATTGACGAAAGACATTGTCCCTCAAGAGATAACTAATTGTTGGTTTGTTGTTTAACGCCGCACCCAGGTTAATAGTTGTTTTGCAACCCTTAACTATACTGCTCTACATCATTAAGCCGGACTCCATCTACTAACCCTTACAATGCTAAACATACACTGGTAAGACGTTTGTTTGTTTAACGCCGCACTCAGCAATATTCCAGCCAAATGACGGCGGTCAGTAAATAATCTAGTCTGGACCAGACAATCCAGTGATTTACACCATGAGCATCGACGCACGCAATTGGGATACAATGACATTCATCAACCAAGTCGCCTTTTACGACAAGCATGGGTTGCTGAAGACCTATTCTCATCCGGATCTGATAAGAAGTAGTTTACACACAACCAAAAGCCAAGTCATGTCAACTGGTTTAGCTTTGCCTATACATCAAGAGTCAATATAATGGCATGCAGCCGAAAACGGTGTTCAAATATAGAAAAAAGGATATATGTACAAGAAATTTAAATAATTCCTATTTTACGACAGGTCTCGTAGAACTTGGACAAATGACGAGGAACATCGCGTCGTTCTTTAACCTATGACGTCAATATATTTTTACCGTGTTTTGTGACGTCATAACACTCCATGAATTTCACTGTACGTTAGAAATTGATTGAACTAGGCAAATTCGCAAATATGAAAAACTTACAAAGTTTCATGTTTTTTATATTAGAGAAATGTTTTATTATGGTTACATTTTCTTTAACATTGTATACAATCTTAATTATATCTTTGGGCTAAGTGATTTCCGAAATTCCTTCCTTATAAAGTGTGAATTTTGCGAAAATGTTTGCATTCATGAAATGAACATTTTCTGGAATCTTTTCCGGCGGATATTCGAGTGGGCTCTTGCGTAAGCATTTTGTACTTATTGGAAAGATATACTACATAATCTAGATTTTTTAATTATCTACCAGACAAATGTAAATTGACTGTATTAGTCAAACACGTGTAGACTTTCGTTTTCTTTAACTCTGCTTCTTTAACCCCGTTAACACACACCAATGCCTTATACATTCTGCTTCAGTTACTTCGCAATTCAAGTCAATTCTTTAACCCTTAATGTGTTAATGGCAAGTTGTATGTTGTTGTTGTTGTTTTTTAGGTCGCACTCAGCACTATTCCAGCTATATGACAGCGGTCTGTAAACAATCGAGTCTGGACCAGACAATCCAGTGTCTGATATCACGGGCATCGATCTACGTAATTGGGATACGATGACATGTATCAACCAAGTCAGCGAACCTGACCACCCAGTCCTGTTAGTCGCCTTTTACGGCAAGCATGGGATGCTGAAGATTTATTCTAATTAAATTCTTATTCGACAAAACGAAAACCTCGGTATACTTTATTGTGAAACATTACAGTCTGTTGCAGTATAAAAGGAATTAGATAAAAGCGTGCGAGAGAAAGACCACGTGCACCATGCACACAACTGAAGTCATGACATGTAACATTGAACAACTTTTCATCACCTGGCACGTGGAGGACATTTCTAAATTTGACGCACCCGTGACAAAGAGTATGTCCGATGCAATTCCCTATTTTACTTGTACTATATGTTCCCGTGATTTTCCAGGTAACAATTTTGCTTGCCTTTGCATGTGTTTGTTGCCCCGATGGGGCAGGTTACGCTGACCTTTTTGTACAGTGAATTCTGCTTTTTGCAGAGAGTTGTTATGAATATGGCAAGGGATTTGTCTTTTTTGTTAATTTACAATCACACAGTTAAGACAAAGGAGCCTTGGTTCAGGGATGCTCACCGACAGCCCGTTGCTCTCTACATATCACCGCTTTTCAAGCTGGAACCATTCCAGTGTTTATTTTCCCATCGGGTGTTGTAATCTATTTACAGGAGTTGCTATTATCGTCCCTTTTATAAAGATATACATTGAAATTAACTCTATTGAACCCATTGTATGCTTGACAATGCACTTTATGTATGTGTAGAGTCATGCCATCCATAATTTACCATCACGTTTGCCTCCCACAGCCACAGGCTGACTGCACAAGCCATTTTACATAAATTGTTTGCATGACAATTGCATTTTATACGACATGTGTGTATGTGTACCGTTATTTCATCGACATATTAACATTCCGTTTACCTCCCACATGAACAAGCTGACTGAATAAGTTACCCCATGAGATAGCCATTTTACATCGTTGGAATACTCTAATAAACATAAAACGCAGAATACTCTGATAAACATAAAACGCAGAGTTGCATGACATTGTATGCCTCAATAACCAGTGGCTCGGCTCAACGGTTTGGTCAAAAACTGCTGTACACATTTCCATCATTAGCCGTTTGTGAAACTGACACCTTGTCTTTTTGGAATTAGGGTCATCATCAGTCAGTATGCATCAGCAGACTTTCGCCTATATTATGGCGGCATAATGTTTTATACGATAAAATGAGCGGGTGAGTGAGTGAGTTAAAGAAGTAGTGGCAGATGAGTTTGTTAACCATGTTGCCGATGCCCTTAATACATATGCTATTTGAGAATGTACATGTATGCAGGACATTTAACAAGATGTTAATATTGCTGTTGCAGCGGAAACTGGAATATTTCAAGATTGTGCCTCTGTTAGTAATTTGATTGTGAAGAGTAAGCAGACTGACATTTCATTCAAAACAATGAGTGGTATGATATTGAGTGTGAAAGGGTGAAAAGGGAGAAATTTTGGTACTTGGACCAATTTAGAATAGCTGCATATTTAGAGGACCTTAGAACTTATCATACTTTAAGAAATCGATATGGGGTATGTGAAGAAGGACGAATATGAAGGACATAAGATTAATAGTCTACTTAGTGCACAGGATAATAAGCGTTTTTGGAGGAGGTTAAAGATCTAACGGAATGTAGTAATCTGACGCCATCGTCAATATCTTCCTCACAATGGACTGAACATTTCCAACATGTGTTAAACTCAACTGACATACCAGTTTATGATGATTAAATGGATGCGACTGATACTTTTATTTCAAACCATTTTGCAGATGCTTGTGATAAATGTCTGAACGATCGATATATAGAAATTCTAAATGCTGACATTAGCAGTGAAGAAGTAGAAATTGCCATTAATTGTTTACAAACAGGTAAAGCTGCTGGTCCTGATGGAATTTTGCCGGGAATGTTAATATTCTGTAAGACTCATACTATTCCATCTTTGACGGTTATATTTAACCACGTTATGAACTCGGGGTGTTATCCAGACGAGTGGACAATGGGCATTATTCAACCATTACACAAGAAAGTCTCTATCAATGAAATAAATAATTATAGAGGAATAAGTTTAATGGATGTGTTTGGTAAATTGTTTATGTCAATTATTAATCAACGACTACAGTTATTTGACGATATCAGCAATGTGATACCTGAAGCACAGGCAGGATTCAGGAGCGGGTACAGTACAATGGACATTATTCACCTTACAATGATTAATTGAATCTGATATCTGAAATTGATATCTCTCAAAGCGCAGAGGACGTTTCCACTGCCTTTTTGTAGACTTTCGAAAAGCTTTTGACTCTACAAATACAAAATGATTATCATATTCTGTTATGATTGGTTTGTTGGTTGGTTGTTTAACGCCGCACTCAGCAATATTCAAGCTATATGACGGCGGTCTGTAATATAGTCGAGTCTGGAACCGACAATCCAGTGATCAATGTCATGAGCATCGATCCACGCAATTGGGATTGATGCCGTGCATCAACTAAGTCAGCGAGCCTGACCACCCGATCCCGTTAGTCGCCTCTTAGGACAAGCATAGTCGCCTTTTATAGCAAGCATGGGTTGCTGAAGACCTATTCTACCCCGAATCTTCACGGGTCCTGAAAAATAGTGATGATACAGTGGTGTTCGCTTATAGCAAAAGCATATCCTGCCCTTCCTGTTGTACCCGCCATTTATACATGTTACATTAAAAAGTTAGTATTTATTTTCTGACACTGCACAGCAGTACCCACGGTCATGCGACGGCGGCCTGTAAATAAACCAGACATTCAAGTGATACGACACGATAGAGCATCTGCTTATTTTGTTGAAACTCATCATGTGATACGTTAATTTTGAATTACGTTTGCGGTGCACAAGTGCAGACGTGTGGCGCTACTGCGTTAGACACGTGCAAACTTTGGGATGTTTTTTGGTGTTTGGATTTAAAAATATATTTTCAATGCAAGTGAGTAACCAGTCTAGATTCTCCATCGAAACAGATTCCATTGGGCGTAAAGTGCAAAATAGAGAGAGAGATAGTTATTTATATATATATAAATGTCATAACGTTAATAATTAAATAAGTGGAGTAAGATTGAACACAGTTTTAACAAGGCTCGCTAAATACAATGTTTATTCCTAATAGAGGATATTCACCATCCCTAAACACACAAGCGTGATAACCTCTTTATCATATAATGTCTTTCTTCAATTATGTGCTTGAAAATCGCTTCCCCTCACTGACAAACATTACCTTAACATTGCGAGTTTTCCTGGAATACGCGCATTAATATTTATTACGTCAGGGTAAGTGATGTGTCAGTCGGACAGTGACAGTAGCCAATATAGTTCCAACTAAAATCTGTTTCTTATACAGTGGCGAAGCAACGTATACGCAAAACAACAATTGTTATTACTTGCCTTTCGCGGCAATCCATCGGTCTGTCCGCTAGAGTAGCTGCCCTTTGTCAAAGGGAAGCTACTCTAATCCTAGTCTATGAGACGTCACGGCCACGTTCAGACGTTGTTGACAGTCGGTCTGTCCTGTCATAACGTTAAGTGCAGTCAGACGTACACACAGCGACAAAACGAAACAAGGAAACAATTCAAACATATTTCGGCCAAATCCAACTATTTTAATTTGTGGAAAAGATTTCAAGCACAGATATGGGTACTGATCCCGCTTGGCTAGGCCTTGTGCCCTCGCAAAATTGTTTCGAAATTTATAACTCCAAAGTTGCCAAAACTTATAAAATGCCTTAGCTACGTCACAGTTAGACACTGATTTTCAGTATATTAGACTGTTCTTTTGATAATGATAGAATTATCCCTGTAGTTTATCCAGATTCCCGATGGTTAATTCTGACTCGATCGCCGAATGACAAGGGCGACGCCATGTTTGTTTATAAACATTGAAAGTAGTCCCTACTTGACCTTTGATATTTGCATCTCTATCCGCATATGACCCCAACGGATATCGTTTTTATCCGTTGGCTCTGATCTATCCTGCCGAGAAACCTACCCATTATATGATAAATATAGTTACGTGACGTCATTACATTTAGGAAAACTTTGACGTCACAATACCAAGGTGACAATGGACAAATAACTTACGCCATTACATTTAACTTAGGCGCGTATTTATGAATGAAATGTTGCTCTTTTTGAAACAATGTAGGTTCATGATCAAAGTTTAGCTTATATAGCGGGAAAACTAAAGAGTTGCCGTTTCCACATGCTTCCAATTGTTCACTTAGTGGAATCGTGCGGTTGTGTGGCTGCTTTATTTGTGAACGGTGAAGATTCATTCTTTTTTTTAATTTAAGTTCTGTCTTTCCGATATACTTTTCATTGCATCCACTACAAACAATCAAGTAAATAACATTTCTACTATCACAAGTCATATTTTGTTTTACAGTAACTTTAGTGTCCTTTGTAATTTGGACTAAACAGCCTTCAATTATATTGCTGCAAGTTAGGCAACGTTTGTCACCGCACTTAGGAACCTGTGGAGTGATGACAACAAAATTAAATTTAGAACTTGTCAAAATCTTTCTACTATTTTTGGGGTGTCTTTAGCTGTTGATAATTTTGTATTTGCTCAATATCTTCTCCATTTTAATACTTTGATTCAAAATAGGCAGGTATCGTTGAACCATGGATAATGTTTTTTCATGATAAGGGTTGAAGGTAGATACTAGAGTTAAATTATTCCCCATATTGTTTTCTTCAGACTTTTCTCTCAGTTTTAGTTGCTTAATACTTAGCGCCTTCTGTATGCCATCTTCAATTAGCTTTGCGGAATAATTTTGATGCAGTAGGAAACTCTTCAGTTCAGCAAGGCGAGTAGTTTTAACATCATTCCCGGAAACAATGGTACAAATACGATTTGCGAGACAGTAAGGGATATTTCGTTTTGTAAAATACAGGTGACATGATCCAAAATCCAAATATT